CCAGTCCTGTAGCCACTGCTGAGTTTTCCAAATTTGCTGACATATTGAGTGCAGCACTTTCACAACATCATCTTTCAGGATTTGAAATAGCTCACCTGGAATTCCATCACCTCCACTAGCTTTGTTCATAGTGATGCTTCCTAAGGCCCACTTCACTTCACATTCCAGGCTGTCTGGCTCTAGGTGAGTGATCACACCATTCTGATTATCTGGGCCGTGAAGATCTTTTATGTACAGTTCTTCTGTGTATTCATGCCACCTCTTCTTAATATCTTCTGCTTCTGTTAGGTCCCTATGATTTCTGTCCTTTATTGAGCTCATCTTTGCATGAAATGTTCCCTTGATATCTCTAATTTTCTTGAAGAGATCTCTAATCTTTCCCATTCTGTTGTTTTCCTCTATTTATTTCCACTGAACACTGAGGAAGGCTTTCTTATCTCTCCTTTCTATTCTTTGGAACTCTGCATTCAAATGGGTATATCTTTCCTTTTCTCCTTTGCTTTTTGCTTCCCTTCTTTTCACAGCTATTTGTAACACCTTCTCAGACAGCCATTTTGCTTTTTTGCATTTCTTTTTCTTGGGGATTGTCTTGATTCCTGTCTCCTGTACAATGTCCTGAACCTCCATCCATAGTTCATCAGGCACTCATCAGATCTAGTCCCTTAAATCTATTTCTCACTTCCACTGTATAGTCATAAGGGATTTGATTTAGGTCATACCTGAATGGTCTAGTGGTTTTCTCCACTTTCTTCAATTTCAGTCTGAATTTGGCAGTAAGGAGTTCATGTTCTGGGCCACAGTCAGCTCCCAGTTTTGTTTTTGCTGACTGTATAGAGCTTCTCCATCTTTGGCTGCAAAGAATATAATCAATCTGATTTCGGTGTTGACCATCTGGTGATGTCCACATGTAGAGTCTTCTCTTGTGTTGTTGGAAGAGGGTGTTTGCTAAGACCAGTGCCTTCTCTGGGCAGAACTCTATTAGCCTTTGCCCTGCTTCATTCTGTACTGTAAAAGGCCAAATTTGCCTTTTACTGCAGGTGCTTCTTGACTTTCTACTTTTGCATTCCAGTCCCCTATAATGATTTCCTTGATATTGAGTGGTTTGCCTTGGAGAGGGTCTCACAGGTGTGTATCAGCTCCCAGGGCAGCTGTGTGACTGGTATATGGAATGCCCAGTAGGCTGCAGCACTTCATGGGGGTTTCATATCTGTAATTTCACAATGATTCTGTGGTTGGTTATCATCACCATTTTACAAACAAGAAAAGTGAAGCCACAAAGTCTCCAACTAAAGAAAGTGTTAGTTGCTTAGTCGTGTACCACTCTTTGGGACCCCATGGACTGTAGCCTGCCAGGATCCTCTGCCCGTGGGGTTCTCTAGGCAAAAACACTGGAGTAGATTGCCATTCCCCTCTCCAGTGGATCTTCCTGACCCAGGAATCAAAGCCGAGTCTGCTGCATTGCAGACAGATTCTTTATGTTTGAGCCACTGGGGGAACCCGACTAAAGAAGGCAGCTCGAAAGGGGAAAACCAGGAGTGTTACTTAAGCTGTTTTCTAGCAAGTCCCTGCTTCGGGCGCTGCTTTTAGCCTTCTTCACTTAGGGCTGCCCTTGTCTTAGAAGGTCATGCAATGGCTCCAGAGCTGATGTCTGTCCAGAGATCGATGTTGTACACTGCACAAGGGTGCCGGGGTCCAGCCTCAGCAGGATCCTGGGGGTACCGTCAGGATGAACGGCGTCGGCGAGAGAAAGAGAGAAGACACATGAGACCAGCCTTGATAGGGCCAAGTCTCCGAGGGAGAGAGAGAGAAAGAGAGAGAGAGAGAGAGTGACCAGACGGGGGTGCAGAGAGTCTGGCAGAGTCTGGCCATGCTTTATTTTTTGCCATAGCTTTTATACCCTAAGTTAGTACATTTCTAAGGGGAAGATAGTTTAACATTATGTCAGTTTGTCCTTCACGAAACCAGGGTGTTTTCTGCATACTTCTTTGTTTATGAGGGTCTTGTACATTATCTTCTGGCCTTGGGGGCTATTAACATTTTATGCAGGTCAGGTGAATGTAAACCTATCTTCTGTTTCTATGGTGACCTTAACTAAAACGTAGCAGTCTCATAGGGCAATAGTACAGAGTAGAATTATATTCTTGTTAATACAAAAATTAATCTTTCTGCAAAAGTTGTCAGTTGCATTTATCTAAGAAGTTTACCCCATACTGACTCTGCGACTTTGGTGAGGCAGCTTCTGCCTAGCGCTCCTGGCTGACAATTAACAACTATCTCATTGTTACCACACTAGGGCTAAGTTCTTATTTCTCTAGATCTTTAACTACATTAACAATGGTTTTTAGAACACAACCTTAGCACATTAAAGGCAAAAATACAGCAAGCATAAACACAGCAAGCAAATCACAACCCAATACCCACCTATAGAATAATTTTTCTTATGTTTTCTAATAGGACTCCTTTACCCCGTAAAAGAGCTCTACATCTATTAGAGTTTTTATATAATCAGGTTCTTTATGCTATTTTATGATTAGGATATTATAAGCAATCATGCATATTAGTACCAAGCGCATAAATGCATTTGGCTAACAAACTACCAGCAAAGGAGTTTAAATTAAAACACTCCTTTCACCCTGAATAATCTCATAAAATACCACCACCTGGGAAACTTATTGATTAAAGTTCTAAATGGATTCTTATTTGGGAAGAGATGGGGAAGGCCTTCCTGCCTGTGTCAGAGAAATTAGGGAGTAGTCCATTGAGGCAGGCATCAGAAAGACAGATATCATCTTTAAGGTGAGTGCCGGGGACAGCTTTTCGAAACCCCTGAAAACCTGATCTGCCTTGCCTGTCAGGGTTTCTCCTCATGACCTTGTCATGGGTGGGATCTCGTGAGCTGGCCTTTTCGAAAACCCCTGAAAACCTTATCCGCCTTGCCCGTCAGGTTTTCTCCCCTATGGCCTTTTTAGGGGTAGGGCCTATGTGTTGGCTCCCAGCACAAGGGCATCTTCCTGCAAGTCTCAATCTCTTGTATATTGTTTCATCTCTAATTTGTGAAACTCCATCCCGAATGTCTGCTCAAGTAATTTAGCAGCATTGCCCTTTTTGGTTTTAATTGACATCAATTATTGAGGTGCCTACTAACCCATTTTAAATGGATTTCCTGTTAAGATTAAATGTTTTCACAGGTGACAACTTTTCAGTTTCAGACACCTTAGAGCCCATGAGAAGGGGTTTCAGAGCTCAGCTGATCTGGTTTTAAGTCTGGCTTGCTTTGTGACACATCCTTTAAACTCTCTGACGTTAGTCTGCCTATCCATTAAATGGGTATATAACATTTACTTCAAAGGGATGCTGTGACCATCTATTTAGAACACACAGAAACACACAGACTGGTGTATAGGCTTTAAAAAATAATGAACACTTAATGTAAATCATTACTTTATTTTAAAATTAAAAATAAAATATTCAAGTCTTGGGATATGTAGTAGGTACTGAAAACATGTGTGTTTAATGAATGCAGGTCATTCTACTGCTTGTGGCTTTTTTCAAAGTTCTAAATGCACCCTTCAAGCAAGATTTGCTGTCAGTGTTTCCCCAGGCCTGTTGATTAATGGGGTGGCTGGGTGGGTGGGAAGAATTCATGACACCCAGGGTCCCTGAATAGGAATGGAAAATCTAGAAAGTTGAGATCAGAATCTCCATACTTGGGCAAATTCTCAGCAGTTCTACTTGTAAACTCTTGTGACCTTGCCAAGTTATTTTCATTTTCAATTCCCGTTTTTGTTTTTTACTCAGGTTGCAGAATAGAAATAATAGAAACACCTTCTCTGCTTTGTGTTCAGGCATATAATGCCCTGCTCAAAGCTAAAGTTCCTTTCATGTTCCGATCACTTTGGATGGTGCAAGAATGCCTGGAGCCTGTTCATAAGTCTCAGCACATTGCTATGAGTCTGGTCCCAGTTTTAGGAGAGTATTGACCCTAGTGATGCTACGCTCACACTGCCTTCATTTACACCTGCTGGCAGTCTCTTCAGAAAATAGAGGAGGCTGCCAGGCTTATTTCAAAGTCATGGATCTTGAAATCCTTCTGACTCCATGGAACAACAGGCCTCTATCTGTATACTCTGAAATCTTTATTTATTTGTGATGCCTTTTATACTGCTTTATTTTTCAGTATGATGCTTTGGGGAATTGTTATTGAAGAATTTGAGTGAAAAGCAATACACACACAGTATACAGAAGTTGACACAAAACTCTTCATTCATCAATTAAGTGTATTCAATTTACCTCCTTAATATAAGGTCACTTCCATGATGATGTTTGGAATAAGATTCCTTCTCCCAGGGTGCCAGTTTTTAGTTTTCTGTATCTGCAGACCATAACTCTCAAATCTCCAAGTGAATACACATAATAAAATGATTACATTATAGTAGCAGTGGGGTAGTTTTTAAAATTATTTATTTTTAATTTCCCCTTTATTGAAATATGTTTTGATACATAACACTGTATATATAACTCTACATATTTTTATTTTATTTTATTTTCTTCCCATAACTCTACATATTTTTAAATGATTACTATAATAGGGTTTTTAAAAATATGAATCATTAAATGAGTTGAGAAAGCAAAAACAGTCTTTTTTTACAACAGTTCTCAATACATGTAAATATTACCTTCAAATCTGATTACTTGCTCTACCTTCTTTTCAAGTGAAAAAAAATAATAATAACAAAAAACACTTCTCCTAGTATCAGTGTGCGGGCTCAACCATCATCCCCATGGTGAAGCTCGGTCTCCTTAGACTGAAGTCCATTGACCCGCTCAGCTGCCGAGAGTGGGAAACCTGCAGGTGAAGGAACTAGGACCTCGGATCCAGAGCGACCTCCCCAGCGTCCTCTGGAGAGAGTTCAGGTGGAAGATCAACCATCTGACTCGCACTTCCGCCCGCCACCGCCAGGGGCGCCCGGGCCTCGCGGAGCTGGCAGCGCGGCAGGGGCCGGTGGAGGCGGCGGTGGGGGTTGGGCTGGGGGTGTGGCTGCAGGCTGGGGCTCCCGCCCCGCGGGCTGTGCGGGGTCGCAGTGAGCTGAGGAGGAGGCGCTGGCGACCCCGAGAGGGAGGGAGCAGGCAGACCCCAGCTCAGAGCACCTGCCTGGACACCCTGGGTTTTGGGGGTGGGGGAGCCCCGGCGACTTCGAGCATGGACCCCGTGGCGGGAACCTTTCTCAGGATGCTGTTTCTTTTGTCTGCCCAGCCCTGGAGTACATTAGCAGCAGGAAATACTTGTGAGTACAGCACGCCTTTTAAGACTTATGCTGACAACTTAGAATTCGTGTAATTAAAAAATAGTAATAATTGAATTTTACAAATGGACTAGCTGGCCTGTTTCTGAAAATGAGGCATTTAAAAAAACATCGCAGAGTCCCAGCGTTTGGATGGGACGGTTTACAGTGGTTTTCCCACTCGTCAGGTCTATGAAACACAAAGCCTGTTTGACTTTTCGTCTGTGAGCTGAATTTTGTCTCTGTGCTGTTGTTTTGAATATTCACTGAGAAAGCTCAAGTTCTGGTAAAACCTAAAATTAGCATGAGAATATTGAGGCGGACAGAGACCAGAGAGAGAAAGGAGAGATCATGCCAACGCGGTCATTTATTTCTATGCATTTTGCTGGGTTTATGTAAGAAGGAAAATCGCTGATGGGTGCTGGTGGGGCTCTGCAGAGCTGGGTACGGAGAACTCCGGCGCTGCACAGGCGGGCGGGCCCCGCGGCAGAGCTCAGATGGCGAATCTGGATAGTCAGAATTCCGGTAAGGACAGACCCGTCAAAGGTGGATGGCTTTTGCTGAAAGGAAAAGTAAAACCTGCCATTCAGGTTCATTTGCAAGTATACTTGCTTCTATATTGTGATCTGTTGTGTTTCTGATTTTGTGGGTTCTGTGAAGATGTATTAACCCCTCAGTTCTGAACTAGCACCCTGAGTGATCTGAAGATGCTAGCCAAACTGATTCAGCTGACCTCAGGGCATTTTAATCCGAAAATCAGAAAAAGTTTTCCAAGTGTTATTCAGATTAAAATCTCCATCACAGGGCTTTTCTTTCCTTGAGGGATTTTAAGAAAGCCCCCATGTCCTCCTTCCACACCATATTCCCTTGAATAATTTTTTAAAAATCAAGTTGTAGGGAGTAAGGTAAGCTAGTATGCATTTCAAGAAAGTGCTAGTAGGCATGCTTAGAAACTGACCTTGTTTCTGGATATCCAGATTTAGCTGGAGTGGGGGAGGGGAAACAACTCTGCCCTCACAGTGAAGTTTGTACTAAAGTGAAAAGCATTTTGTACAAATACAGTTACCCTTCCAGCATTCATCCGTATATCCAGTCTGTGATACTTTTGTGCTGTCATCATTTAGTATTAGCTCATTTAATGCCATATTATGTGAGTCTCTCCTAAAAATGAGTGTTAGCAAATACTGCCCTGTGTTTCAGACACAATTTTAATTATCTTTGTGTACAACTTCCATGAGTTAATTAAAATGGGGGCATTTACATGAACTCCGTAGGTCCTGCAGTCACTTTGTCACTCTGCCGAGAACTTAAAAATGACTAGTACTGAATGATTTGCTAGTATGAAAGAATTGTAGAATAATTTAATGCAGTACCCTGAGGTGCAATTAAAAAGTCACTGGAGGTCCCTATTACTTAAAAGAAGCAGCTTCAACAGTCCTTCCCTTGTAAGATAAGTGGAGATCTGTGCTGCCTTTCTTGCTTCCTTCGTTGTGATTACAAGATACTGGCAAGATCAGTTGTTTGTATATTTATTTTTTCTGTTTGTGTTTTGTCCCCTGAAATCCACAGAGGTATGATGTTCTTCTTACTGAGCATCTTTTTAACAGTGGCCACCTGGGTCTCTGGCTGCCTCTTCAAATATCACTGCTAGTTTTAACTTTTTAGCCTGTTTTATTTAGATGTATTTGGTACTGTTGTTTAAAATTCAGTGAATTAAAAGTACCTATGTAAATTTGCATTGTTAAGAACATTTGAGATTCTATAGTTAAAATCCTTGACTACCAAACAGATGGCTGTTACAGTTGATTAAGTGTGAAGTATATATTTAAATGACTTTGCAGACTAAAGGTTCATAGAGACTAAACAGAGTGATAATTTCTTGGTAATTGCATTTGACAGTATCCTTTGTAACCATAGCTTCAAAGGCCAGTGGATCTCACTATAACCCATATTAGCTAATTGGATCAATTAGGTTTTTCCTTAGCTCTAGAATGTTTGGGAGGTGTATGTCTATGTAGATTTATATACAAGCAAGGCGTTTCAAGCTTATATTTGAAATTTGTTATTACTTAAGTCAAGGTAGAGTTGTTTTTTTTTTCAGTCCTGTCCCATCATTTGAGAAATTCTAAAAAGGAGTTTGCCACCAGGGTGGGATTTAGGCTTATGAAGAAGAAATCATAAACATCAGCATTGCTTAAGGCTTTTGCTGGCTAACCTTTTTATTCCTAAGAAGTATTTTAAGAACTCAAGTAATCCTTTCAGACAGGATTTTAAAACTAACAAAAATGAAATATTCTTGAGCCTTAATAAGAAAATAGTGATAATTGTATGTAAATTTTTAAAAGGTACAGATCTTTCCCCCCAAAGGACATGTTTGCTCTGTTTACAACTTGTTCTCAGTAGTAAATCATACAGAGGGGTCAGCCTGGGTGAGCTTCTGGCATAAGGCATCCTCTCAAGGTATAAGACTTGCTTGAAACATTTGGCATCTCAGAAATTACCCATGTTTCGAAATGAATCTTTACAATTAATGGGAAGTTTTAAGTCAGGAAAAGTCTGCATGGAGAGAGTAATGTTTCTAAAGACCCAAAAGCATGGACTTTATGTATGTATGTACACACACACACACACACACACACACACACACACACACACACAAATATATACAATCTCTGCCTTGTTGAAGATAAAACACACACACACACACACACACATGTCTTTTTGAAGTTAAAACAAGTTGAATGAGCAGCATCTCCAAATTTTGGCCTAGGACTTGATATTTAAAAATCATCTACCTCTACTTGGTTCGCCTTCTAGAACTTTCTGTACTTAGTCAAGATGAAAGTGTTATTCAAGTGGGGCTCTCCTCTTAAGTGGAACTGAAGAGGAAAGTTAGAATATAGGTCCCAAGTTAGAGTCCTGTTTGTGAGAAGATGTGAAGACAGTGGTTGGTTCACTTACTTCCCACTATGAGCCACAAGTGGAAGAAGGCAGTAGCTCTCTGCTTTAGGATTATTCCTGTGAATCTACTATTTCTTTGTGAATTTGCAGATCTTTGGGGAAAGGGGGAGGAGAAGAAGAAGAGGTATAATCTGTATAAGAAAGTGTCAATATTTTGATTGCATATTTAGTGTTGTAAATCTGTTTCCTGGATCACATATCACTTTGAGGAGTAATGGTAGTCTTTCCTATTAAGGAACAACACAATTGGAAGTTAATTTACAGTTGAATTATTTTCCTAGAAGTTGCTCTCCTCCCTAACCCTATTCCCCACTGAAAAGAAAAAGAACTGAGGCATGTGTTAGACATTTCAACTGCTGTTGATGGTGATTATTTAACATGAATGATGACATTTATAGATGAAGGGATTCAATTTAATGAGTATGACCCACTCAACTCCAACTTGTAATTTTCTCTAGAATCTTCATTTTGTTTCCTTCCCCTGTCATAAGTATCCATGTTATGAGGGGGAAAAAAGATATATTCTGGCCCACGGCAGGTGGGGCATACAATTTGAATGACTGTTTTAGGAGTGATAGTCAGGATTTGTATTTATCCATCAATATCTCTTCCCTTCTCGTGGCTGAATAGCATTCCATTGTGTGTGAATACCACTTTATCTGTTCCTCCATTGATGGTCTTTTGGGTTGTCTCCATATCTTGACTATTGTGAGTAATGCTGTGATAAACATAAGGGCGCATATATTTTGTCAAAAACTTCTTTTTTTTCTGGTCAGGCAAGAAAAGGAAATTTATTAAAAGGGAAATGAGAGGGTGACTGACCCTTCAGAAGAACCAGGGTCCTCCCTTTTTGATGGGGTCCTTCTTATACCCTGCCAATGGAAGATTCTCTGAGAGAATGATTTTTTAATTTAATTATTTTAATGTGTATTTGAATTTGTTTTGCTAACGTTTGGTTGAGAATTTTTACATCTATGTTCATCAGAGATAGTAATTTAATTATTTAATTTCCTTTTCCTGTAATATCCTTGACAGATGTTATCTCTTTTTATGCTATAATTTCATTACTAAGTTGTAGTATCTATGAAAAAGTGAAAGTGTTAGTCTCTTGCTCATGTTCAAGTCTTTGTGACCTCATGGACTATAGCCTGCCAGGCTCCTCTGTCCCTGGGATTCTCCAGGCAAGAATATTGGGATTTGGTTGCCATTTCCTTCTCCAATCTCAACCCACAGGTTGAACCCGGTTCTCCTACATTGTAGGCAGATTCTTTACTGCCTCAGCCACAAAGGAATTATTTTTAACGCTCTTCTCCTTTAACACATATAGTTAAGAGTTTAACATACTATTCTAAAATAATTTGCAGCATTCTATTTCTTATCTTAATCAAAGTTTTGTGTACTTGGATCTTTTTGTTTCAGCTTGAAGAGTTTGTTTCACCATTCCTTGTAAGGCAGGACTACTGGGGTGGTGAATTCTCTCAGCTTTATTTTGTCTGGGAAAGGCTTTATTTCTCCTTCCTTCTAAAGAATAACCTTACTAGATAGGGTATCTTGGATGGAAGGTTTTAATATGTCCTTTTGTTTTTTCCTGGATGCCTTGAAAATTGTTTATTTATGATTGATGTTTTACTTTTGACAGCTTCATTAAAGTATGTCTTGGACGAGGACTTTTTGTGGTGAGATAATAAGATATTCTGATAGCTTCCTGGATTTGTATACTGAGCTGTACCCTAGGTTTGGGAATTTCTCAACTATTGTCTCTTTAAGTAAACTCTGCTTTTTCTCACCTTTCTTCTCTTTCTGGGATGGACATTATTCTTATGTTGCCCTTTCCAGTGGAATCAGATGGTTCTCTTA